GCCCCCGCCGGCCCCGAACAGCCCCCCCCCCCCGGAGAAAGGTGGGCTCTGTGGCGTGGCGCCCCACTGAAGACCCCCCCCCAAAAAAAGAACATCTCTCGCTGTTTCCCAACCCGGAGCCGGCGCAGCGGGCGCCCAGCCGGCGCAGCGGGCATCCGGCCAGACCGGCAGCTGCTTGGGGCTCTCCCTCCCTTTAGCCCACCCCAGCCCTAGAGGCGTCGGGTGTGGGGAGATCCGAGGGGGCGCAGGGCCCGGAGCGGCGGGCGGCCCAAACATCCCGCGCCGCGAAGCCTTGTGTGGAGGCGACGTGCGCGATAGGAAAAGGAGCGGCGACTCGTGGGAAAGTGACGGAGACTCCCCGGGAGCGCTGGGGTACCTCTTTGCCAGGGATGCCAGCCTCCAGGTGGGACCTGGGGACCCCCCCAGGATCCCCGCTCCTCTCCAGACTACCGAGCTCAGTTCCCCCGGAGAAAAGGGCTGCTTTGGAGGGGGAGGACACTCTGGCATCGCGCCCCACCGAGGTCCCTGTCCCCCCCCCAAATCTCCAGGACTTTCCCAGGACTGGAGCTGCCAAAGCGACTCTCCACCAGTGTTCCCTCTAAGCTGAGTTAGTGTGAGCTAGCTCACAGTTTTTCAGCCTCCAGCTCACAGATTTTTGTCTTCGCTCAGGAAGGATGGCTCCAGAGCCAACTAATTTATGCAGTAGCCAAATCGCTCACTCACAGATTTCATGCCAGTAGCTCACAGAGTAGAATTTTTGCTCACAAGATTACACAGCTTAGAGGGAACATTGTCTCCACACCCCCAAACCATCATCTGGCCATCTCTTGCCATGCCCAGCACCTCTCAGAATTGCACTCAGATGTGGAACTGGACAGGGCTCTCTTCTGAGGGGATCCGGCTCTTTCTTCCACTTGAAAATGTGAAGTGTGGATGAGAGAAAGTCTTTAGCAGAGCATACCGCATGGGGACACTCCTCAGATGGAACACTGAACAACACAGGCCAATGGCTGAATTTTTATAATCAGGAATTTCATGCCTTACACAGCAATTTCACACATACACAAGAAATCCACATCTGTCTATGTATAAATATATATAAAAGAAAGTCCCCTCACTGTAAAATCAACAGCCAGGCCAAACCGCTGGACCCAGAGACACCAAATTCGGGGAGAGCACTCCTACCATGGCATACATGCTTGCTAAGAAGGGATTTTTAGAAATTTGACTCCTAAGGGGGTCAAAAGGGGTAAAATGTGCTTCCCCCATTGATTCCTATGCGACTGCCAGGCAGCTGCCTCCCTGCACCCCCCACTCTCTGATTGGTCAGCTGCAGAGCTCAGTGTTCTGAGGTTAAAAAAAACCAGTTACAGGGGACTGCACAGAGCTAATGAAAGTTGAGGAAATCAGGAATGGCCAACAACCACCTGTGAGGTGAAGCAAAGCTGCTGGCCCAGCCTCTCTGCTGGCTTCCAACACACTCTCTCCACCTCCTACACCTAACAGGCGGCTGTCTGTCAGGTGCAGCAGCAGTTGCAGGGTGCTTAAAGCCCCGAGGGAGCCCGCCCCAGCAGTAACGTCTTAGTGATCCTGCCAGCCCTGCCTCCACAGTGGCTTCTAATACTCCTCCCCCCTCCCCCTCCTACACTGGACAGGCAGTTGCCTGTCAGGTGTAGGAGAGGAGGTGGCATGCTTACAGATACCAGGGAGGTTTGCTCAGCAGGATTGCCTTAACCCTGCTGCTCGCCCAGCCTCCCTGATGCCTTTAAACATAATCCCCCCCAACACCAGACAGGCAGGTGTCCGTCAGGTGTAGGAGCAGGACCAGGGTACTTTAGTCCATCAGGGACGCAGCCCCAGAAGGATCACCTTAGCGGTGCTGCTGGCCCAGCTTAGCCACACTCCCACCCACAATGGAAATATACCCCAAATTTGTAGAAAACTGGTTTCCTTTATTAGGTTATTTAAATTCTCACAATGTGGGTTCTAGAAAATCAGTTCATATGAACCTGCTTAATATCTGATTGCTCAGATGGTGTTTGGAATATGTAGTTATGTCCCACTTCTTAAATGTAGCATAAATAAGAGGCAATTTTGTTTTTTAAAAAAGTGGGTATGCCCTCCCCCCAAATTCGATGCCCAGGCCAAACCCCTGCACCAAGAAACCCAACATAAGGGGAGTGCATTCCTTCCATGACGTCAAACCCACCCCCCAAGAGATTTCTGAGAAACATGACCAGAGTTAGTGTGAGCTAGCTCACAGTTTTTTAGCCTCCGGCTCACACATTTTTGTCTTAGCTCAGAAAGGATAGCTCCAGAGCAAACTAATTTATGCAGTAGCCGAATCGCTCACTCACAACTTTAATTCTTTTTTTTTTGGTAAACAAATTTTTATTTTCTTAGGAACATAACATATAAGATTAAAGCATTCAGTCCATTGTTTACCTCATTCCCTTCCTCCCCTCCCTCCAGTGGCTTCCCGCAATGCTTCTCCCCCTTCTTACAAATTTCATTATATCATTAACACATCATTTGTTATCATCCAACCACAAGATAACATCATTTGACTTAATATTGATCTAAACATATTAAGTTTTGTTTTACATCCCAGTTCTTTTCCAGATATATTTTAAAGTCATTCCATTCTTGAAAAAACACGTTGTCTTCTTGATTATTCAACTTCTTTGTAATTTTATCCATTTCTGCCATGAACAGAACTTTTTGTATCCAGTCTTCGATTTCTGGTACTTTCTCAGTCTTCCAAAATTGTGCATAAATCATCCTCGCTGTTGTAATAAGGTACCAGAATAAAGTCCTTTTAGTCGAGTTAACTTCTTCCATTTTTAGTCCCAAAAGCAGAATTTCAGGCGCTTTCTTGAAAGAGCACTTAAGTATTTTTTGCATTTCTTTGTGGACTTTTGTCCAAAAGAGTGTAGCTTTTTCACAAGTCCACCACATATGGTAAAATGAGCCCTCATGTTTTTTACATTTCCAACATTTATTTGACATATTCTGGTTCATATTTGCAATTTTCTTTGGGGTCATATACCACCTATACATCATTTTATAACAATTCTCTCTAACATTGGTACAGGGTGATATCTTAATAGCATTTTTCCACAAATATTCCCAGGTTTCTATGTCAATTTCCTTGTTCATATTTATTGCCCATTTTAACATTTGCTCTTTCACAGTCTCATCTTCTGTATACCATTTTAACAACACTTTATACATTTTAGAGATATCTTTTCCCCCTCCACTCTCCCATACCTTTTCCATTTCATTTTTTTCCTCTCTAAAACCATAATTTCTTTTGTCTGACCTAAAAAGGTCAGAGATCTGCATGTATTTCAACCATTCATATTCATATTCAATTTCATTCTGCTTTTTCATTACCCATTCTGTTCCCTCTTTTTTTATTATGTCTTTATACAGCAACCAATCTTTGTCTCTACGTCTTGAGTAAGATGTTAACACTTCCACTGGTACAATCCAAAGTGGCCTTACATCACCAAAATATTTTTTATATCTCATCCATACCACAAATAATGCTTTTCTTACCACATGATGCTTAAAAAAGCTATCCATTTTTGTTTTGTCATACCATAAATATGCATGCCAACCAAATCTACAATCATGACCTTCTAACCCCAATAGCTTATCATTTTCTAATTTCACCCATTGCTTCAACCAGGTCATACAAACCGCTTCATAATATAATCTGAGATTTGGTAGCTGTAGTCCACCTCTGTCCTTGGCATCACAAAGTATTTTCATCTTAATTCTCGGTTTCTTGCCTGCCCAAACAAACTTTGATAGTTCTTGTTGCCACCTTTGCAGCAAATCTGTCTTACTAAGTATTGGTATTGTTTGGAACAGGAACATCAAACGTGGTAGGACATTCATTTTTATAACTGAAATTCTTCCCATCAGTGACAAGTTCATTTTGTCCCATTTCTTAAAGTCTTGGGTTAACTTAGCCCATAGTTTTTCATAATTGTTCTTATATAAGTCTATATTCTTTGCAGTTAACTCAATGCCTAAGTATTTCGTCTTCTTTACCACTTCACATTGTACCAAATTTTGTAGTTCCACTTGTTTTTGTTTCGTCATATTTTTGCAAATAAGCTTCGTTTTATTCTTGTTTACATAAAATCCTGCCAATTCTCCAAAATCTTTTATTTTTTGAAATAGTAACGGTAACTCTTCCGTCGGGTTTTCCACAATAAACATTACGTCATCTGCAAAAGCACGGTATTTATATTTAAAACCTTTATGTGTCAAACCGCTCCTGGCATTACAGTTGTGAGCGAGCGATTTGGCTGCTGCATAAATTAGTTTGCTCTGGAGCCCTCCTTCCTGAGCTAAGACAAGAAATGTGTGAGCCGGAGGCTAAAAAACTGTGAGCTGACTCGCACTAACTCAGCTTAGAGGGAACGCTGCTGGTGATTCTAGCACTTTAGGGCAAAACCACCAATGTGGTCTACGGGGAGGTCCTTCAGTAGAGAGAAAAAACAAGTAAGACTCCACATCTTAGCGGGAGCATTGAGCATGACCCCTAAGGGGGTAGAAAAGGGGACAAAATGTGTTCCCCCAATTGTTTTCCATGTGCCTGGCAGGCTGCTGCTCCCCCCCCTCCATTGGTCAACTGTGTAGCTCAGAGTTCTGAGGTAAAACCTTAGGAGTTGACTTAACAGACGACTGCTTCTTAAATGTTGCCTGCTCTGGAGTGAGCTCACCAAGCAGACCGGTGATCAATGGGAGCGGTGGCGCAGGCAGTAAGTGAAGCCTGCATTTACATCTGCCGAACAGCTTCGGCTGTTCGAGCCCCACCGTGGTTGGGGTGAGCTCCCGGCCCTATGTCCCAGCTCCCGCCCACCCAGCGGCTCGGAAGCCCATTAAAGGGCAAGTAGACTGCTGTTAGAGCGGGGGGGGGGCCCCCGTCCCTCGTGGCATGGTGGCAGCATGAGCGGCGAGGCAGCGGCGAAGCGGTGGCAGTGGCGGCGAGGGCGAAGAACATGGTGGTGGCTGGCGAGTCAAATGAGCAGAGGCTGGGCCGGCAAGCGTGGAGGCGGGGCAACGCAGCAGGCCGGAGCCTATCGGATGGAGGCCGGCAGCGAGCACGCGCGGACATGCGCTTGGCCCAGACCCGAAGGAATTGCAACGACCAAAGGAAGACCTGCGCCAGAAGGACGTCATCACTGGACCGGGAAAAAGATCTCCTGCAGATAACAACGAAGACTCGCTAGAGGATGCCTGTTAGGCTAGTCACTCTC